TCCAAATAAAATTTGGTATAAGTATTGCCCATATGCATAGAAATATTACTGTGAAATTTTTTTTCGATCGGTCCATAATTGGTCATAGCTCCCATACAAGGTCCCCTCCCGAAAATCACTTAAACTCGCTTAACTCATAACTAAATTAAGATATCCATATAAAATTTGGTACAAATATTAGTCATATGCACAGAAATATTGTTGTGAAATTTTTTTCCGATCGGTCCATAATTGATCATAGCTCCCATACAAGGTCCCCTCCCGAAAATCACTTAAACGCGCATAACTCATTACTAAATTAAGATATCCAAATAAAATTTGGTATAAGTATTGCCCATATGCATAGAAATATTACTGTGGAAGTTTTTTCCGATCGGTCCATAATTGGTCATAGCTCCCATACAAGGTCCCCTCCCGAAAATCACTCAAACGCGCATAACTCATTACTAAATTAAGATATCCAAATAAAATTTGGTATAAGTATTGCCCATATGCAAAGAAATATTACTGTTAAATTTTTTTCCGATCGGTCCATAATTGGTCATAGCCCCCATACAAGGTCCCCTCCCGAAAATCACTTAAACGCGCTTAACTCATAACTAAATTAAGATATCCATATAAACTTTGGTACAAATATTACTCATATGCACAGAAATTTTGTTGTGAAATTTTTTTCCGATCGGTCCATAATTAATCATAGCTCCCATACAAGGTCCCCTCCCGAAAATCACTTAAACGCGCATAACTCATTAGTAAATTCAGATATCCATATAACATTTGGTATAAGTATTGCCCATATGCATAGAAATATTACTGTGAAATTTTTTTCCGATCGGTCCATAATTGGTCATAGCTCCCATACAAGGTCCCCTCTCGAAAATCACTTAAACGCGCATAACACATTACTAAATTAAGATATCCATATAAGGTTTGGTACAAGTATTACTCATATGCACAGAAATATTACTGTGAAATTTTTTTCCGATCGGTCCATAATTGGTCATAGCTCCCATACAAGGTCCCCTCCCGAAAATCACTTAAACGCGCATAACTCATTACTAAATTAAGATATCAATATAAAATTTGGCACAAGTATTACTCATATGCACAGAAATATTACTGCGAAAATTTTTTTCGATCGGTCCATAATTGGTCATAGCTCCCATACAAGGTCCTCTCCCGAAAATCACTTAAACGCTCATAACTCATTACTTAATTAAGATACCCATATGGTACAAATATTACTCATATGCACAGAAATATTACAGATAATTTTTTTTTTTCGATCGGTCCATAACTGGTCATAGCTCCCATACAAGGTCCCCTCCCGAAAATCACTTAAACGCACATAACTCATTACTAAATTAGGATATCCATATAAAGTTTGGCAGAAATATTGCTCATATACAGAGAAATATTACTGTGAAATTGTTTTCCTATCGATCCATAATTGATCATAGCTCCCATACAAGGTCCCTTTCAGAAAAACACTTAAAGGCACATAACTCATTACCAAATAATGATATAAATAAATACTATTTTTGTTCATAAATAATATTTTGTAATGCAAAAAGCACTTAATGCTATTTCAAAAATTGTTCACGATCGGTCTATATTTGGTCATATCTCTCATACTAGGTCCTGCCCCTAAAAGCGCTTTAACCGTATTTAACTATATGCATTATCAATTTGTGTAGAACAAAATTATATATATGTATGTATTTTTAAAATCCTTAAATCTTTCACACACATGCATACATGCAAATACGAGATATCGCTAAAGCATATCTTAGGGCGCTATAAAAATTTAAATGAAAGTGGTGTTTCTAATGTTCAATAAATCTTGGAATTGTAGTAGATTTAAGCTGTTTAAATCTTGGGATTTTTATATTTAAGACATGAGAAAACTTATTAATTAGAAATGTATTAATACAAAAGTTGCTGGTGGAGGGTATTTAAGATTCGGCTCAGCCGAATATAGCACTCTAACTTGTTTACGTTGTTTAACCTTCACAATGAGTGTTAAGATATGTACATATAAATTGACCTTTTCAACTTTTGCATTTACTGCAAAAACAATATAAACTACATATGTATTTTTAAAATTATTAATTTTAAATAAAATTATGAATGTTGGGGACATTTTCTAAAGGATGTAATAGGATTATGTGTCGGTATAACTTACAGTATGAACTTTGGAAACTTATAACATACTTTTGCAAAATTTTTGTGTGATTACAGCTTCAGTGAAGATATTAAAAAAAAATTTCTATTAGTCCCTTTACTAATAGAAATTTTTTGATTTTCTGTACTACACAAAAACATAACGTAGACAATTTCAGACACCTAGCTGCTTCCTTCTGCCCGTATTGCATTTTCAATAGCTAAATGTAGATTCTTAAAAAGACCCAGGTCAAACTCACAATTGACTTTCTTTCTGCTTTAATACATTACTTTGTAAGTAAAGTCGACATACATATGTAAGTAATTTTCTCTCTTAAAAGATAAACACTACACAATTTATACGAATGGTAAATTTGACCAATGTCAAGTATATCTGCAAAAACATGAATACTATTAATAAAAAGTGGTCACAAGTAAAACTATGTAATAATTTTAGTAGAAATGCATTTAATTACTTTTTGTACAAATTACATCTGAATAAATGATACGCACAAGTCGGTTTAAAACATTTCTGAGTAGGACACACAATTTTTATAAAATGTAATTTTATACATAGTATGTAACTTGTAAAAAAAAAAAAAACGGACAAATAGCTTTGCATATTTATATACATGCTTTTTACTTAACAAATGTTTCAGGAATAAACTTGTTTGCTCTTCTCATAAAAATATTTTTTTGCTAGTTATTTTAAATAAAATTATTAACAATATATTACTTTATATTCAACACCAATTTATAGAAATGAAAATATTTTTATTTCGTTATCTTCTTCATTTTGATGTCATATTTTTTGTGGGAGTAATACAATTTAAAGTTCAAACAAAGTTTTAAAGTTTGTTATAGGAATATAAAAACAAATTAAAATTAAATATAAAATATTCAATATTGGAAAAATGTATTTTAGTTGATGTTAATTTCCTGGTGTGGGATTTTTAAAGTTTTCGATAAGTTTTAACATAAAGTAATAACACATGTTAAAATATATGTTTAAGTCATTATTAATTATGCATTACTGCATGAAAATTTAGTTTATTCTAGGATATAATTTCTCAAAATTTCTGTGCTGATGTCAACATTTGCAGTCTCTTAAAACCATTTAAATATAACCGTAAAACAATAATATCGCAATATTTTTTCACCAACGGTCAACACTAAATCGAAAATATTTTGTGTAACATCACATCACATCAAATCACATCACTAACTAACTAACTAACTAACTAACTAACTAACTAACTAACTAACTAACTAACTAACTAACTACTAACTACTAACTAACTAACTAACTAACTAACTAACTAACTAACTAACTAACTAACTAACTAACTAACTAACTAACTAACTAACTAACTACTAACTAACTAACTAACTAACTAACTAACTAACTAACTAACTAACTAACTAACTAACTAACTAACTAACTAACTAACTAACTAACTAACTAACTAACTAACTAACTAACTAACTAACTAACTAACTAACTAACTAACTAACTAACTAACTAACTAACTAACTAACTAACTACTAACTAACTAACTAACTAACTAACTAACTAACTAACTAACTAACTAACTAACTAACTAACTAACTAACTAACTAACTAACTAACTAACTAACTAACTAACTAACTAACTAACTAACTAACTAACTAACTAACTAACTAACTAACTACTACTAACTAACTAACTAACTAACTAACTAACTAACTAACTAACTAACTAACTAACTAACTAACTAACTAACTAACTAACTAACTAACTACTAACTAACTAACTAACTAACTAACTAACTAACTAACTAACTAACTAACTAACTAACTAACTAACTAACTAACTAACTAACTAACTAACTAACTAACTAACTAACTAACTAACTACTAACTAACTAACTAACTAACTAACTACTAACTAACTAACTAACTAACTAACTAACTAACTAACTAACTAACTAACTAACTAACTAACTAACTAACTAACTAACTAACTAACTAACTAACTAACTAACTAACTAACTAACTAACTAACTAACTAACTAACTAACTAACTAACTAACTAACTAACTAACTAACTAACTAACTAACTAACTAACTAACTAACTAACTAACTAACTAACTAACTAACTAACTAACTAACTAACTAACTAACTAACTAACTAACTAACTAACTAACTAACTAACTAACTAACTAACTAACTAACTAACTAACTAACTAACTAACTAACTAACTAATGCTTTCGTCCTGTCACCGTCAGACCTGTGAATTGTGAACATATAAAATCAAAAAATCTTAAGCTTATTTTTTCATTTTATTTCATTTACGACTCCTGTACGTATACGTGTTAATAATTTATTGATGTTACAAATATTAAGTATACGCCTAATTTGACTTTTGGGTGCCCATAACTTTGGGCAAAACTGGGATATAGGGGGCTTTTTTTGTCGCATATTGTTATATGTTTTCTTGTTGCGCTGTGTAATTAAATACTTATTAGCGTTTAAAAATTACACAGTACCTCTAATTTGCTAAGTATAATATATAGAATAGTACAAAATCATGTTGATAGTCAGTAGAAACTTCAATAGAATAGTTAGTTATTGAAAAATAATTTTCAATAATAATATGTATACATATAACCAAATTGCTCTTGAAATTACCATATAAATATTTAAGTTTTATTTTTTCTTAATACGACATTAAATTTTCTTAACATAAAAGAACTTTTCCATCTAAGAAAACTTTTAATGAAATCAAATTATTTTTTGAAGGCTAATAATTTTTGCTAATAATATTCAATAACTTTTATTCATGTCATTGCAGAAATATCACCAGATACCAAGGCTGTTATAACAGGACCAGCTGATTTACATTTTAAAGTTGACAGTACTTTCATGTGTTGTAAACCAGTCGTTGGTTAAGGATATTGGTCCCATCTATTGGTATCGTGTGCGAATATATGATTACTATTTCCTATGTTAAGTGTTACACCACCCACTGTGGTGGGGAAAAATAAATTTAATGTTCTGGAACAAAATCATTTGCAGCACAGGCAACAGCTTCATGATGGTATTTATGGTGATGGAGGTGGGCGTGCTGCTGCTGTTACAGATTCTGAACAAATACCACAAATCTTAACAAACGAAATAACACAACACATTTTGCTCAACGCATTGCTATGGAATCACAATTGGGTGATAACATGAAATCAAGGTAAATTATTGAGGTTGTTTTGTAGTTGTTTTTTTATATTTTTGGATTTTGTTTGGTTTCTGCTTCTGTTTACTATCTAAGGATCTAGGTGTATGCTTTTTAAAAGTAGATTATGGGAATGTAACATTTTCACTTTAATTTTAATGTTTGGGTACTTTCAAGGACAAGGTCTAAAGTGCAGACACATAAAATCAAGCACATAGACGCACAATTTTATTATAAAATCCCAGCAAACCCTTATTCTTAAAATGAGAATAGATTTAATAGCAAACTCAAATAATATAAATAGACTAGACAATATAGTAGTCAATAGATTACTTAGTTAGACTATTAAGCTGGCTATCGCCCATTATGATATATTTCAAAATCAACCTCTGAGTACCTTATTATAGGTTGATAAAAACCTTTGAGAGTTAATGTAGAAAACTCTTGACTCACTGCATGTTGGGTTTTAGAAACTTTGGTTGCTGTTTTTATACCCTCCAGCACCATCAGTGGTGATAGAGGGTATATATAAGTTTGTCGTTCCGTGTGTAACACCAAGAAATATTTATCTGAGACCCAACAAAGTATATATATTCTGGGTCCTTAACAAATTCTGAGTCGATTTAGCTATGTCCGTCTGTCTGTCTGTGTAAAACACGCTCACGTTAAAATTAAGCAAAGGAAATCCACCAAATTCACCCAAAATATTTATTATTATCCTAAGCAGTTCGGTATCGAAAATCAGCAAAATCGGTTCACAACATAAAAAGTAATGAGTAAAAATTTCAGACTACCTCGAAAAAAATTACGTTTTTTTCATAATTCTTTTAAAGTTTTCTCAGAAACTACTAAAGATATTTCGATGAATTTTCTCACACAATATTTTTTTAGAGCAGTGATCAATTATTTTCAAAATCTTTACAATCGATCCAATTTTTCCCATAGCCCCCATACAAAGGTATATATTCCCGGAAATTAGTTTATCGTTAATAACTCCCTCAAATATATCGGTATCAACACAAAATTTTGTACATGTAAATATAATATGAACAGAAATCATACTGTCAACGTAGACCTCAGTCGGTCCACAATTGGTCATAGCTCCCATATAAGGTCCACTTCCGAAAATCACCTAAACGCACATATTTCTTTGATGAATAAAGCTATTGTGATAAAATTCGAGTAGGATGTGTTTTGTATACATACAAATCATTCTACAAATTTTTTTACGGATCGGTCCATTATTGGTCATAGCTCCCATATAAGGCCCACTTCCGAAAATCATTTAAAAGCTCATATTTCATTGTCAACTAAAGCTATTCTGATGAAATTTGACACAAATATGTTTAGTCTAAATATAAATCACTCTACGAAATTTTTTCCGGATAGGCCCATAATTGGTCATAGCTCCCATATAAGGTCGACTTCCGAAAATCACTTAAACGCATATATTTCATTGAATTATAAAGCTATCGGAATAAAATTCGACACAAATCTGTTTCGTATATATATAAATCATTCTACAAAATTTTTTACGGATCGGTCCATAATTGGTCATAGATCCCATATAAGGCCCACTTCCGAAAATCACTTAAAAGCACATATTTCAATGCTAAGTAAAGATATATTGATAAAATTCGAAACAAATATGTTTTACCTAAACAAAAAAACTTTACTAATTTTTTCCGGATAGGGCCATAATTGGTCATAGCTCCCATATAAGGTCCACTTCCGAAAATCACTTAAACGCATATATTTCATTGAATTCTAAAGCTATCGGGATAAAATTCGACAGAAATATGTTTTGTGTGCATTCAAATCATTGCACTATTTTTTATACTGATCGGTCCCTTATTGGTCATAGCTCCCATATAAGGCCAACTTCCGAAAATAACTTAAAAGCACATATTTCAATATCAAGTAAAGCTATCTTGACAAAATTCGACACAAATATGTTTTGCCTAAACATGAATCACTCTACGAATTTTTTTCCGGATAGGCCTATAATTGGTCATAGCTCCCATATAAGGTCCACTTTCGAAAATCACTTAAACGCATATATTTCATTGAATTCTAAAGCTATAGGGGTAAAAATCGACTTGAATAAGTTTTGTGTACATATGAATCATTCTACCACTTTTTTCTCGGATCGGTCCATTATTGGTCATAGCTTCCATATAAGGTCCACTTCTGAGAGTCACTTAAACACACATATTTCATTGTCAAATAAAGTTATCTTGAGGAAATTCGTCACAAATATGTTTGTCTTTACATAAATCACTCATTCCACCAAATTTTTTCTGGATCGGTCCATATTTGGTAATAGGACCACTTCAAAAAATCCCTTAAACGCACATATATCATTATCAAATAAAGATATCTTGATAAAATATGATTTGTGCACATATGAATCACTTAAACGCACATTTTATACATAGATATAAAATTTGACATAAATGTGTATTTTCTATATATGTATATAAATGATTATATGGAATTTTTTGCGGACCGGTTCATAAGTTGTCTTAGCTCCCATATAAGGTTAACTTCTGAAAATCACTTAATAATACTTAATTCGTTATTAAATTATTATATCCGGATAAAATTCGACATGAGTATGTTCTGTGTATATATAAATCATTCTATTAAAATGTTTTCGAACTGGCGTATTAATTTAAATTTTTCTGGACCTAATCAAAATTAGTTCGACAAAAATTTTGGCAAGTTATCTAAAAATTAGATAGTTAGATGGGTTTCAATAAAAAGTAGCTTGCTGGTGGAGGGTATTTAAGATTCGACATAGCCGAATAGAGCACTCTAACTTGTTTCTTCTTTATGTTAGCTTTCTTTTGTCTTATGGCATTAAATAATTTCATTTTATTGTACTATTTTTAGACTATGCATTTCGAATGCCCAAACATCGGATATTGGTAACCACAGCGGTCAACCCAACACAAATTATGGACAGTTTTTTTGTTATTATCAAATTATGGACAGTTTCATATTAAATAAAATTTATAAATTATAAAGGAAGTATAAAGGTCTTTAGCCAAATGCTTTGAATAGGTTTACCATGTGCACTGTGGCTCGTTTTCTAAAACGGCACAAAACTTCATTTGAGTCTTTTTCTGCAAAAAGTATCATATGTAATCTCTACTACTCCAGTAGTTAAAACAAATTTGTCCTTGTATTCCGATTTCTTACTCTGATCTCTTTTAGAACGCGGAAGTTGTAAAGAGAGTGTCATACTGCAGGGTCACGTCTAGTCGTGAAAATGTATCTTATAGTTGGTATTATCTAAAATAGTCTGTAGCCCATTCCTTGATCATGTTCGATACTATGGTCAGGGAAATATTAATATCCTTTTTCGTCGGCTGATAGTTGCTATCCCGTTAATTGAACTCGACAAAGTGTCGACGGGGATAGAAAAGGGAATTAAAAAAAATCCTCTTGCAGCCATAACGAAGATTTAAAATGCAGAAAGAGGTACACCTGCTGTATTTGAGAAGATAATCCCTTAACAACAAGAATAAAACCGTACAATTTTCCAAATGTTTTGACATTCTATCGATGCTTACTATAAGCATCATTTTCTCTCTGAAATACTACCGTATGCGTAAAAGATACTCTTCCTATTAGTAATATGGCGTTTATTATCCATCTATTCCTTAACTCTTTCACGTATACGGGACACCGGTGTCCCAAGATTTATTTAATTTTTCTCGATGTAGAGCGTAATTTTGAGTTCAGAGCTACAATAAGTGGTTATTTCTAAAGAAAACTAATTTCTATTTTAGAATTTGATGCCATTTCAGGACAAAAAGGATATCCTTCGAAAACACTTTTTCCACTTTTCATCAAAAATGATCAATATACATCAAAATAAAGTGTGTAGTGAACTCATTTTCATAAAAACTTCAGCGGTTTAGTTTTGTGCGTAAAAGGGATTGATGTAGGGATTGAAAAAGAGTTTACTGATATATCAGTTTTTGTATTACTATTGTCAACTTTTCTATGGATTGAGCTGCGCTATAATCGAAATTGTTTTATGTCACCTGCAATCTTCCGATTTATTAAAAACTTTTAAAGGTTTTATGCCAAAATTTGAGACCTTATTGCAGCACAACATCTTGCCCGCGTTGTAGACTATAAATTCCGGCTGAAGATCTATAAAAAGTAGGCGGAAACAGAAGGCGTGTCATTTCCATGTATAGTTTAGTTCCATCAGAGAATAGCTCTATCATTAGTTTAGTGTTTTCAAACTAAAGTAAACATAACAACAGCGGCAAACTGGATAAAGTACTATAGGATATTTAATAGGAATATTTGTATCAGTAACGACAGCAAGCCTGCCATCAAATCTCTAACTGGAGTCTACACGATATCCAGACTGGTTAGCAAATGTCGGTCGTCTCTTAACAAGACGGCGAATCATTCGAACCTAGAACTTCTTTGGCTACCGGGACATGCTAATATTCCAGAGAATAATATTGCGAATGTATTACATATCAACGATGCTGACACAATTGTAGATGTTCCACTTTACTGCTGTAATTTTGTAATTCAGCAGGATCTCTTTGGGACAGCTCAAATAAGATGGGCATCCCTGACTTCCTGCTCAACTGCCAGTTGGACCTGGCCTATGATGGTAAAAGTTCTCACAGTTTGTTGGTGCTTTTTAGAGTTAGGCTACGACTACTAGTACCCTTACTGACAGGGTATTGCAAAATAGGTTCGTGTGCTAGAAGACTATACCTTCCATACAACGACTTCTGTAAAAGTTGTCAGGATATGGATGAGGAGGAAGCGATTAACACTTTCATTGTCACTATCCCGCCTCTCGGTTATCAGAACTGCTACATTGGGTAGTCCAACGTTGCACGACACAGTGGATCTATACAGGATTTATGTGAATAGGATATTACCTTTAGCTCCTGCCTCAGGTTGGTTTGACTCCACACTGAATATGGACACGTAATGTACCTCGGGTAGGACGAAGTGTTATCCACTTCAAG